GGTAGTTGCTGCAATTGCCCCAGACAGAGGCTCCGCTCTGGAGTTTGTCTGCAGCCCTCTCCCTGATGAAAGGCAGCTGTGGACGGGTTTCAGTTTATTCTGTTTAAAGATCTATCACGGACTCCCCCGTGAATGGGAATGTAAAGAGAAGTCACAAATCAAACCTGAACCGTGCAGTCCACTTAGGCGAACGCTATTTGCGCCATATGTTTTGCAGGTTCATTTCATTGGAACAGTAAATTGGTCTAAAATTAGGGCCAGATTTTAGAAGGCAGCACCGAAGATGTGTCCTCTGAGCATGCATGCACGTGAACTCAGCCGAAGGGACAGGTCACTCCCAACCTGCAAAGAGGCAGGGTAAATGGACACCTACATGCAGGACACGGGGATGGGCATATCCTGTGAACTTTTTGTGGGGGGTGCTTGTGTACAGCTCTTCCAAGTGACTCTTCAGTGCCTGTCTTCAGGACCCTGACCTTGACACCAGCTCTTCCCCGTGTGGACGCAGCTTTTAATTCCCAATGTTGGGTACTCCACATGCAGATCCTCACAATATTTAGGTGGACATACATCCACAAATCTTTAGTATAAGCTTTTCAATTACAGGGCTTTCAAACAACAACAACAATAACCTTGTCTTCCCAGCCTGTTCAAATAAACTGTTGCAGATTAAGGGCCTGAGTTTTTGTCAAGTTTAAACAAATACGTAAAGCACGAGAGCTCTGCAGTATTGCATTCCTGTGACAGCCAGCTCCCAGCAGCTCTCCAAGGCAGAGCGACGCACTGATGGGATTGCTTGCCCATCAGCTCCCCTCTCACCAGCTCAGAAGATGCAGATCCAGCGGGTCCTTAATCCAAACCAGGGTTTTGGTTTTACAGCTCTGGAACAAGGAGGTTTTGCTTACCCCAAACCTGGCTTCAATTTTATCTCATTTCCATAAATAGCACTAGGAACCTTTGGCAACGTTTTGCCACATTTTCCAGTGGAGGACAGGCAAAGACTCAAGGCCAGTGCTATATAGGGTATCTGAACTATGTTTCTCCTGCCTCTTTGCACCTAAGAGCCTCTCAAGTCTCCTGCCCAGGTGTTTTATCCCCTTCTGCTTTTCAGTCCATATTTTCGAGCTGTCGTTCCCTTGTGTTTCACCTCATTTCCTCCCAGTTTCCACCTCCATTTTGTCACTTAATCATGTGGGCCTCTGTAGCCTCTCATTTGCTTGTGGTAAATCTGGCGTCTTTATTAAATCCAGACTGTTTCACTCTGGGGGCACATTTACAGGTAAATCTCCTTATAGGCAGCCACCTCTGACTCGATAGTACATTTAATCCTGCAGCTGTCAAACGAAAGGTGATAAATCATCTACCTCTGATCAAATAAATCCTGCCTCTTTTCGTTCAACCATGGTACTTCGCCCGCATTATTGAGGACGGGGTGTTGGCTCAGGCTATGATAGCTACGGACTGAACTTTTCAACGCTTAAAGATCAGCTCCCTCATCAGCACAATCTAAACTCCTGTTTGATTAATTTGTGCTGAATTGGGGCCTGAAGAAAGTGATTTTTTCTTTGTTTGGGTTTTGGGGGTTTTTTTTGTTGTTGTCGTTTTGGGGGCCGTGTTGGTTTTGGGTTTTGTTTTTTGGTTTTTGTTTCCCGAGGCTGGAAGAAGGAAAACAAACCCAAAAAGCAAGCTTGGATCAAAATCCTGCTGTAGAGCTAGGAAAGGGTTAAAGGCAGCCGTCTCCATCCTATGAGAGAGAGAATCAGTAGGCAGCTCTGCCCGGGCAGCCCCTGCCTCCACACAAAGCCCCATTGAGCCGGGGCAGGATCGGGGCAGGAGGGGTTTGCCGAGCAGTTGTAACTCCACAAGCCCGCTCCTTTCACTGCAAAGAGCCAGCAAGGCCCGTTGGCAGCTCCCGCCGAGTTCGCAGGCTCTGCCAGCCAACTGCTCCCTGTTTGTTCCTTTTTCTTAAAACAACAAGGCACACAGGGAAATAAATACAAAAAGCCCCCGGTATGTGTGTAGCATTAAGCTGCAAGAGCCGCTGCTCCAGTCCAAGGATTTAAAAAACCTACGGTTTCTTCCACTGTGCTAATTTGGCCGTGTTGCACCTGCAGAGTATTTTTTATTCCAGCGTCCTTCTTAAACACAGATGTACGTGCTGAGCCAGGAGCCTTCTGAAGTGCT